AGGGAGAAGCAGACTCCCCACTGAGCAGGGAGCCCGATGCGGGACTCGATCCCGGGACTCCAGGATCATGACCTGAGCCAAAGGCAGTCGCTTAAACAACTGAGCCACCCAGGCGTCCCCAGTATCTGCTTTTCAAGTATTTTTTTCATTCATGTTTTATAAAATCCTTAAACAAGATTTAAAAAGAGAATAATTATGTTCATGTTGTTAGAAAGCAAGACTTACAGTGTAAGAGAAAAGAGATTTGATGTAAAAGTCAAACGTATTAAACAAAACCCTTGAAATATTAACTCTACATTGTAAGCATTAGTATTCTTGATCTCTTTTTCCTTAAAAAAATATATATTTACTAGCTCTGTCCACTATGAAGGTCAAGTAACAATAGGAAATAATAACACTGTAGCAATAAACACTCCTAGTAACTCTGGTTATGGTCCCTAAACACCACACCCTACCAAGAGAAACCAAAGCTCCTTAGAGGGACGGCTGATGCCAGGACTGGGGCAAGAAAGCATACAAGAAGGCACTGGGAAATCTCGTTGTCCTTGACAGCAAGCAAATCTTACACAACTAAAGAGACCATGCCAAAAGGACATAGGAGCTAACATTAAGAGGCTCAATAGCCAAAGACGAGACAATTGGAGAATCAAAGAATATGACCGAAATGGAAACCCTGAATACATAAAAACACATAGGTACCCGATGAAATAAAAAAGTGCCCTCCCCATCCAAGCCACAAACAATGGATTACTGCTGGAGGTATGTAGGGCATTGACTCCTTATTCTGAAAATGGCAATTAAAGGATTAAGCATTTAGGGGCGCCTGGGTGGCTCAGTCAGTTAAGCATCTGCCTTAGGCTCTGGTAATGATCCCGGGGGCCTGGGATGGAGCCCTGAGTCAGCCTCCCTGCTCAGCGGGGAGTCTGCTTCTCCCTCTGCCCCTCCCCCCATGCATGCTCCCTCTCCTCCCTCTCTCTCAAATAAATAAATAAAATCTTAAAAAAAGAAAGAATCAAGCATTTATCCAGTCTATTCAGATCAAATTATATACTAGGGTAACTAAATAGCCCCAGTTGATTAAATTTTGCTTTGCAGAAGAATTACAGCTAATACATTTAGAATGCAGGCGACATTTAGAAACTCAGCATTTGGCTATTTCTAGTTAAAACCAATGATTCAGGCAATCATGAAAGCATTACATGAAAGGTGGGTGTGGGTCTTTAAAATGAAAGGAGCAGCCGTTGCCGTGTGAATTCACTATCAATGGTAGAATAATTAGAAGCAAGACAATCGGATAGCATGTGGTCCCCTGAAATGATTACCTGTTGTCAATAATCATTATACTGGAGGATGGAATCCCCAAAACATCACAGCTCTGCAAAAGTTCTTTCTTACGCACCTCCCCTTGATTGTAGTAATTTCCTGAAGATAACAAATACACAGTGGTAGATTTCTTTAATAGTGGAAATCTATCAGTTTACTCATTTTTTTTTTTAAGATTTTATTTATTTATTTATTTATTTATTTATTTATTTATTTATTTATTGACAGAGAGAGACACAGTGAGAGAGGGAGCACAAGCAGGGGTAAGTGGAGAGGGAGAAGCAGGCTCCCCGCCGAGCAGGGAACCCGATGCGGGGCTCAATCCCAGCACCTTGGGATTACCACCTGAGCCGAAGGCAGTCCCTTAATGGACTGAGCCACCCAGGCACCCCCAGTTTACTCATTCTTTTTTTTTTTTAAAGATTTTATTTATTTATTTGACAGAGAGAGAGAGACAGCACAAGTAGGCAGAACAGCAGGGAGAGGGAGAGGAAGAAGCATGCTCTCCGCTGAGCAGGGAGCCTGACGTGGGGCTCGATCCCAGGACCCCATCATGAACTGAGCCGAAGGCAGCCGCTTAACCGACTAAGCCACCCAGGTGCCCCCAGTTTACTCATTCTTATCTCATCTTGTTCCCTAAGGGACTTAAGCCACCTGAAAAATTTGTGGTTATGATGAAAGGCTGAAGGAAATATTACTCCTATGAGATGACTGATAGCAGCCCAGTCTTTAGAATCATCACCATTTAAGCCTTCCCATCTCTGTATCTATCTGTCTGTCCCTCTGTCTGTCTGTCTGCATTTCCGTAGCATGCTACAGGCAGTATTGCATATTGCCAAGACCACTGGCTTTGGAGGTAAGCAGATTTAAGATTGCCTCTTCTGTAACTGCCCAGACAGAATAAGTCAGGTACCTGGGCACGCTATTAATTTGGGCTCTTTTAATTGATAGTCCTCAAAAATCTGTTGAACGTTTATTTAAAGAGGCTCTTACTCCTGCGTATTACAGGAAAATGTTTCCCTGGGGGATCTTGACCACATCGGTGCCCCAAATAGCTTATGTATCCTTTCTTTTCCCAACACGTATATTCTGTTTCCTAAGAACGGTTCTGCTAAGTACTGCTTCTCTGTATCCTACAAATAATATACGGTGAAGATTTAGTACCACTTAAACTGCACTTATGAGCAATTGTCTAGCTAATGCACCCCTTAATTCAACTCTCCAGCAGATAATTGCAAGTGTAATGTGTGCTAGTTACTTAACTTTCCCGAGCCACAGGTCTTCCACTGGTAAAGTGAAGATGATGACCATCTCCTACAGCTTTCCTGAGGATTACATGAGGCAATACATATCCACCCAGTTCAGTACGCAGTGTTTTCAATTTTCCTCGACTTCTTTAGCTTTACCTTCCCCCTCCTCTGCTTCATTTCTTCCTGAATTAGAATCCATTTTCATTGTCTTCACCAAATGGCAACCCCTCTGGGAAGTCTCCCATTTCTCCTGGCAAGGAATCATCTCCAGTATTCTGCTCAGATGTATGAACGTTTCTCCATGATCAGATTATGAATTCCTAAATGTCATTGACCTTAAAAGTCACAGTCTCCTTCAACTTTGTATCATGCTGGTGTCCAGCACACTTCATGTACTCATGAAGCACTGAACCAAGAGCGGCTTCCTTTACTGGCCAGATAACCCAGACAAAAACAGTTCTGCAAGCCTTTCAACTTTGGCAGGAGTTACTCTAGTGCTGGTTGTGAACTGTTTGAACCCAGAAAGGAGACAAGTCATTACATTGTATCCAACAAAGGAACTAACCCTAAAAAGACTCCAGATAATAGCTTAGTTTCGTATTGTTCTCATCACAATATTTTAGGTCCTTTTTTTTTTTTTTTAAGTCAGATGGAAGCTATAGTCAGTTTTATGATGGTCATTATATTTTAGGTTCCCCTCAAATCCATACACATACCCTCTCTTATTTCATCTCAAGGTTATTTGATCTTTGGTGAAAAAGAGTCTAATGGACACTTCTGAAGTCCAGAGGCTGTGCACATCAGACTCTGATTATGATTCTGAGGAACTGCTTAGAATGGAGGCTAATGAGTTTATAGAGCTGGTTTTATGACTTTGTGTTTGAATTAAGGAACTTAAAATAGGTTAGGGAGTTGAAGTCAGAGATCATTTTAAAAATTTTCCCTAAGCTTGGTGAACATGTAAGCACTTCAACAGAATGTGTCTGAGATCCTTCAGCAGCCCTTAATGACACACTCTAGAACTGTGTCCAACTAGGGTAGGTGTACTCTGGGATGCACAAGATTATCTGTTGGGGTGAGAAAAAGCTTTAGAGCTTTTCCTCTTAATTTGTGTACCTTGTCCTTTATATGTCAACGTTTATTAATGTTTTATAATGTTCACACTAGTTCAATGGGACATATACTTAATACAATTATAAATAAGTATATATATATATATATATATATACACACACATATATACACATATAATGGGAGTATATGCTCAGAAGTTTTTACCAAGGGGCGCCTGGGTGGCTCAGCCGTTAGGTGTCTGCCTTCGGCTCAGGTTGTGATCCCGGGGTTCTGGGATCGAGCCCTGCATCGGGCTCACTGCTCGGCGGGGAAGCCTGCTTCTCCCTTTCCCACTCCCCCTGCTTGTGTTCCCTCTCTCATTGTGTCTCCCTCTGTCAAATAAATAAATAAAATCTTAAAAAAAAAAAAGTTTTTACCAATAGGAGGGGTGCCTGAGTGGCTCAGTCTGACTCTTGATTTCAGCTCAGGTTGTGATCTCAGGGTTGTGACATCAAGCCCTGCCACGGGCTTCATGCTGGGTGTGAAGCCTGCTTTTGGGATTCTCTCTCTACCCTCTCCCTCTGCCCCAACCCCCTTAAAAAACAAAACAAAACAAAAACAAAAAAAAACAAAACAGGGACCAGTGAAGTGGCCCAGAGATTAGTGACAGCAGGAGGTAACTACCAACCCTAGGATGGACAGATAAAAGGAGTAGGCAGTGTTACTAGAACCCAAAGGCCTCGGTTCCCCAAAGGAAGCTGAAACCAAAAGAACTAGACTCTTCCATTAGTATGAGCCCAGTTGGAGAAATCATGATTTAAAAATGAAACTAGAATTAAAAATTGGTCAAATGATGGGGCGCCTGGGTGGCTCAGTCGGTTAAGTGGCTGCCTTTGGCTAAGGTCATGATCCCAGGGTCCTGGGATCGAGCCCCGCATCGGGGCTCTCTGCCTGCTCTGCCTACTTGTGCTCTCTCTCTCAAATAAATAAATAAATAAAATCTTTAAAAAATTGGTCAAATTACTTGAACAGATATTTCACCAAAGACAGATGGGTAATAAGCACATGAAAAGATGCTCAATATCATTAGTCATTAGGGAAATCAAGGCAAAACCACAATGAGGTATCATTTTACACCCACTAGGATGGCTATAGTAAAAACAAAAACAAAAAAAGACAGGGGCACCTGCCTGGCTCAGTCGGTGGAGCGTGCAACTCTTGATCTCGGGGTTGTGAGTTCAAGCCCCATGCCAGGTGTAGAGATTACTTAAAAATAAAATCTAGGGGCGCCTGGGTGGCTCAGCTGGTTGGGTGACGGCCTTCAGCTCGGGTCATGGTCCCAGGGTCCTGGGATCGAGCCCCGCATCGGGCTCCCTGCTTGGCGGGAAGCCTGCTTCTCCCTCTCCCACTCCCCCTGCTTGTGTTCCTTCTCTCACTGTCTCTCTCTGTCAATTAAATAAATAAAATCTTTAAAAAAATAAATAAAATCTAAAAACGAAACAAAAAGTCATCACCATGACATGGGCTGTAACGATATTAAAAAAAATCACACAAAAAATTACAAGTGTATGAGGATGGGGAAATTGGAACCCTTGTGCATTGTTGGTGGGAACATAAAATGGTAAAGCTGCTGTGGAAAACAGTTTGGTTTGAGATTCCTCAAAAATTTGAACATAGAATTAACATATAACTCAGCAATTCTACTCCTATGTATATACTCAAAAACAAACTGAAAACAAGGACTCAAACAGATACTTGTATACCTGCGTTCTTAGCAGCATTATTCACAATAGCCAAAAAAAGGAAACAACCCAGGTGTCCAGATAAGCAAAATGTCGTATATATATAACGGGGTATTATTCAGTCTTAAAAAGGAATGAAATTTTGATATATGCTACAACATGGATGAACTTTGAAAACATTATGCTAATTAAAGTAAGGCAGACCTAAGGGGCACCTGGGTGGCTCAGTTGGTTAAGCGTCTGCCTTCGGCTCAGGTCATGATCCCGGAGTCCCAGGATCGAGCCCCATGTTGGGCTACCTGCTCGGCAGAAAGTCTGCTCTTCCCTTCCCCCAGTTCGTGCTCTCTCTCTTGCTTACTCTCTCTCAAATAAATAAAATCTTAAAAAAAAAAGTAAGCCAGACATAAAAGGACAATTATTGCATGATTCTACTTATATGAAGTACCTAGGATAATCAAATTATTCTAGAGAGAGAGAGTACGATAGTGGTAGCCAGGGGCTGGGAGAGGAAGAAATGGGGAGTTATTGCTTAATATGTGGAATTTTGCTTGGAAAGATGAAAAAGTTCTGGAAACAGAGAGTGGTGATGGTTACACAGTATTGTGAATGTACCTAATGCCACTCACTGAATACTTAAAAATGGCTAAAATGGTAAATTTTGTTATGTATATTTTTCCACAATAAAAAATTAGATTTGCACTGAGTAAAAATCTTTCAATTATTAGCTATCACCATAAAACAGAAATTCTGTCTTTTTTTTTTTTTTTTTGAGATTTACTTATTTGTTTTAGAGAGGAAGAGCATGAGCAGAAGGGGCAGAGGGAGAGGGAGAGGAAATCCCAAGCTGACTGCGCTGAACTCGGAGCCCGCCACGGAGTCTGACCTCGCAAGTCTGAGATCATGACCCTGAGATTAGGACCTGAGGTCAAACCAAGAGCTGGAGTCTTAACCGACTGTGCCACCCAGGTGCCCCAGAAATTATGTCTTTAAAACTGGTAGAGGGGCGCCTGGCTGGCTCAGGCTGTGGAGCATGCAACTCTTGATCTCGGGGTTG